CGAGTGTGTGGTGTGCGGGGACAAGTCGAGCGGCAAGCACTACGGCCAGTTCACGTGCGAGGGCTGCAAGAGCTTCTTCAAGCGCAGCGTGCGGAGGAACCTGAGCTACACGTGCCGCGCCAACCGGAACTGTCCCATCGACCAGCACCACCGCAACCAGTGCCAGTACTGCCGCCTCAAAAAGTGCCTCAAAGTGGGCATGAGACGGGAAGGTATCGGCTTCTCATTTCTCCCCCCTTCGCCCGCGGTCCCGGGGCCCTGGGTGCATTTGGCTAGCCTGCTCTGGGTAAGGACACAGAAGCCCCAAGCTCAACGTGTTGCAGCCAAAGGGGATTTGGTAGTAGAAGCAGGGTCTGCACTGCAGCCCAGACAACCCCCACCCCCACCCTCCAGCCCGCATGCTTTAGCAGACTTTCCTTCTCCACTCTCTCTTCGGGCTGCTTTTCCTTTCCTTTGCATTGATTGAGAGTTCATTCGAGTTCACCTTTCTGCAAGGGTGGATTGTTGTTTGTTGTTGTTTTAAAGTCCTCTCTCTTTCCTTGCTTTCCCTGCATGTTTAACATATGTCCCTCCTCCTTACCCCACTCCCCAACCCCCACCTTCTCAAAAAAAAAAAAAAAAAAACAACCTGAGATTGTACTTTTGTACAGAAGGTTCAAATTACAAATGGCAATTTTATGCACTTCGCCGTATTAACGCTGCCTCCTGGGCAGTGCTCATGTGACCCCTCCGTGGATTAACATTCTGCTTTAAAAAAAAATACCTCTTGTTTTTCTTTTTTTCCTTTCACTTTTGAAACGAAGAGCTCTGTAGGGAGTAGGAAAGTGTGGACAAGGGGCCTTGGGCCGCTGCTTTCGCTCTGCACCAGTTGGGTCTTTGTGATATAAAATTCGCCAAGAGCCGGGAACAGTGCTCTACCAATGGCGCGCTCCGCGCCGGGCGCGGGCTCCGGGTTGGGGCGAGCCAAAGCCGGGTTTCTTTGTGTTTCTGTGAGAGCGACTCTCTCGGTCCCGAGTCAGATAACAGCCCCCCCCGCCCGCCCCCCCCCTCCCCCCCCCCCCCGGCCCCCCCCCCCCCCCCCCCCCCCCCGCCCCCCTGCCTCTCTCCGGCTTCCTCTCTTCTCTGCCGGCCTCTTTTTCTCTCTCCGCCCTCTCTCTTGTCTCCGCTCCTCTGAGCTCACTGATCAGGCAAAGTCGTGGGACCTAGACTCTGTCTCTCGCCTGGGTTTCCTTCCTGGGCTGGGGTTGAGGTTACATGCTTTGGGTACAGTGGTTCAGGGGTGGCCACAGGCCATCTGGGGTAAACCTTAATGTCTTGGGCAAAAACGTCTCACCCTCCCCCTACGCTACGCTCTGGTTCCTTCTCCAATCAATAAGAAATATCAGCTTTTTAACAGGAAAAAAAAAGAAAAAAGAAAGGTGCCCCCAGAATGCTACATCCCGCTCACAGCTGAGGGGACCCCCAGGCAAAGTGACCATTTCTGGGTCCTTGGCAGAGCAGCCCAGATAGGCCTCACAGGCAAGTGTTGAGCTCTGGCAGTCAGAGCCAGCCTGGGAGGTGATTTGTGAGGAGTGGTTGCTGAGCGCCTGGCTGTAGCAGGCCTGCCTGCTTCTTGTGCTGTTCTGGGGCCTTGGACAGGTTGGGGTCATGTAGAAGGATGCGAGATCAAGGCTGATCATTAACTGTGGAGTGTTCCCTTTCCTCCCTGCAGCTGTACAGAGGGGCAGGATGCCGCCCACCCAGCCTACCCACGGGCAGTTCGCACTGACCAACGGGGACCCCCTCAACTGCCACTCGTACCTGTCCGGATATATTTCCCTGCTGCTGCGCGCGGAGCCCTACCCCACGTCTCGCTTCGGCAGCCAGTGCATGCAGCCTAACAACATCATGGGCATCGAGAACATTTGCGAACTGGCCGCGCGGATGCTCTTCAGCGCCGTTGAGTGGGCCCGGAACATCCCCTTCTTCCCTGACCTGCAGATCACGGACCAGGTGGCCCTTCTTCGCCTCACCTGGAGCGAGCTGTTCGTGTTGAATGCAGCGCAGTGCTCCATGCCCCTCCATGTCGCCCCGCTCCTTGCTGCTGCTGGTCTGCACGCTTCACCCATGTCGGCCGACCGGGTGGTCGCCTTTATGGACCACATAAGGATCTTCCAAGAGCAAGTGGAGAAGCTCAAGGCGCTGCACGTCGATTCCGCTGAGTACAGCTGCCTCAAGGCCATAGTCCTGTTCACCTCAGGTAGGGTGGAGACTTGTTCTCGGGTACCCAAGAACTCCCAGGGCAGTGTTAGGGCCTGGGAAAGTGGCCAGTCCCACTCCCCTCTTAACAGGCCAAACTGTAGAGTGTATTTTGAAGTGGGAACTTGCTGGATCTGCTGGCTTGTCCTGGTGTGCAGAAGGGTGTCCCAAACATTGACTTCCAGAGGGGCCTTAGGCCTCTCAGGCCCCTTCCTTTACCTCAGCATCCAACCTGGAATGCACTCTCCTGCTTCCTCCCTAAGCCCAGGCCCTCTGGGCCTAGTTGGCCTCCAGGGAATCTCCTCAAGACCTAGGCTTTTTTTTTTTTTTTTTTTTTTTTTTTTGGCACCCTGTCTGAGACCTCAGGGAGATGCCCCTGGGCACATTGTAGCCCTGGCATCATCTCTGTAGGAGAAAGTTTGTCCCTGCAGGGGGAAAGTTTGCTTGTGAACTCAGTAGGAGTTGGAGCTCCAGGCAACTCTAACCTGAGAGCAGCAATTTTCAAAATCACATTCTCATTAAAATAATGCCGACTGCCAGGAGAAGGGGGAATGCTGTCAGAAAGGGGCAGGAGGGGCTGAGGGACTACCATAATTCCAGAATGTCTGCAGGGGGCTGAAGGCTGGCCTCTGGCTTCCCCTGTTCAGGCAAACACTTAAGGCAATTTTCAAGCAACCCAAAGTGTGTGCCAACTTGGGCTGGGTATGAATGTTGTTGGAGATATAAAACCATCATTGACTGCATTAGGAAATCTAATTAGTTTGCATGTAGTTTAACCTGTGTGAGTAATAGATCTGATATTCATTAACTCTTGAGGCCAAATGATTTTTGAAAGTGTCTGGCTTTCCACTTTGGGCCACACCTGAGCCTTTTGGCTGCCTCCAGGCTCAGTTTAGCCATAGCCCAGGTGGGCGGATATCACCCCCACCCTTCACATTCTTGTACTAAGTTGTCAGCTGATCCCTTTGTCATGGCTGAGAAGGGAACAGGGTTCCTGACTAATAATAACAAACATTTGGACATTGGCAGGGCCTGGAACCTAGTCACCCACTCCAGATCTTTAAGCTTACAGTGAGAAAACTAGAAGAGATGTGTGAGTTTATGGGACAAACAGTTAGGAGGCTCACAGTTTCTTCTTTGTTGTTAAAGAAGTCTGGGAACCAAATCATTAGCTGAGTCTATGGCAGGCTCTTTCTCAACCTGCTGTCTTGTATGAGTTACTGTTTTTCACACAGAACCCTCACCCCCCAATCACACCAAACCCTGCCTTCCAAAGTCCTTAGAATATCAGAGGGCAGCACTCTGGCCAGGCCAGAGCTTTATAGAGAGGGTTGAATCTGGTTTATTCTTCTCATGAGTCTACCATGTCTAGAGTGTTTGCCTGCCACAAATGTAGTGGAACACTATTCCTGTCCCATAGCCACCTTTACCCCCTTCTCATAACCTGGTATCCAGCCCATGTTCTCCTATGATGGGGATGGCTGTTAATTTCTTGATATCATTGTTAGTTCTTTGACTTAAGTCTGGTCTTTCAAGGAAAGAAATGCCTGGTACTGTCAAAACAGTTTAATTTATTACCGTTTGCAAGATGTGGAGGCCTGTATGGAGAATGCAGATGGCCTCACAAAGAGATAAAGGTTCCTGTTATCTGATTCAGAGGGAGACACACAGTACCAATGAGAAGGGAAGGAGTCCTAGACAAACAGATCTTTTCATTCCTGACCACAGACACCTAGGCATCTGTAGACACATGGCGTCCTGGACACAGTGGAGGAGGATGCATGTGTGTTCTGGTGGCAGGGGTGGAGGTGTGGTGACTGTTTTCGAATATCTGTTTTAATGATTCACAATATGCATGTGTTAACCCCAGTCTTGTCTGGGGAGCCCTGAAAGGTCAGGTCACAACCTGAACCGCCTTCACCAAGAAGCCTCTCATTTCAAAGGCACTTATTGTAATTTCACGTATCAGAAAAAAGAAAAGTGTTTTCCTGAAGATAACAGGGAGGGGGATGCTTCTTGGAGAGACCTGGGCTTAAAAAAAATAATAAAATAAAGGGGGGTGGGAGAAAAGGGAGAGAGAAAAGGAGGGGAAAGAAACAGCTCAAATGAACAGAGAGATCACAGTTTGCATGGCTGCCCTTCAATAGGCTAAACTGACAAGATCAGTTTTAAAGGGCCACTTAAATCAGTTTCAAAGACTGGAGAAAAATGAGTCGCTCTCTTTGGGAGAATCTGAGGCTGGGTCTTGGACGCCATTACTGAAAGCTGGGCCAGGTTGTCACCCCTCCTCCCTATACACACTATATAATAAGCCAAATGCAGAGGATGGGGGAAGAAGCATTGGTGCTTTTGGTTTTGTCTGTCTGTCTGTCTGTCTGTCTGTCTGTCTGTCTGTGTACTAAGTAGGGCCAGATACACCAATGTACTTTTTCTTGGGCCTCCAAGTGACCCAGCCTTAGGACTGGGGCAAAGAAAGCCTGTAGCAGCCAAGCAGTGTTTTATTTTAAAGTAAACACTTCAGGACCATCTCAAGCTTTGTCACCTCCTTCCTCCCCCTTGAAGTTTTCAGTGTATAGGCATTTGCTCCAACTCTGGATGGGGTACTTTGACAGAATACTGTGTGCACACCTCAGGTGACCCATTTCAAGCCTCTTAATCTGATGATTTCTCTCCCTCTTTCCCCACTTTTTTTTTTTTTTTAACTTTCTTCCAGATGCCTGTGGTCTGTCTGATGTAGCCCATGTGGAAAGCTTGCAGGAAAAGTCCCAGTGTGCTTTGGAAGAGTACGTTAGAAGCCAGTACCCCAACCAGCCAACGCGGTTCGGAAAGCTTTTGCTTCGCCTCCCTTCCCTCCGCACGGTCTCCTCCTCAGTCATAGAGCAATTGTTTTTCGTCCGTTTGGTAGGTAAAACCCCCATCGAAACCCTCATCCGGGATATGTTACTGTCCGGCAGCAGTTTTAACTGGCCGTATATGGCAATTCAATAAATAAATAAATCAAAATAAGAAGGGGGAGTGAAACAGAGAAAGAAAAGGCAAAAGACTGGTTTTGTTTGCTTAATTTCCTTCTGTTGAGAAAGGATGTTACAAGTTTGCTAAAAAGAAGAGGGGGAAGAATTTAATGGACTGTGAATTTCAAAAAAAAAGAGTGAGAGAGACTGTCAAAGGAACTTTACAGAATGCATTAAGAAAAAAAAAAACAACTCCTGTGTTGGGCAGAACAACTTGCTACTTATCATTTTTGTATAAAAAGGAAATTAGTCTTTTTTCTTTTTGGTAAATTTTTGAAAAATATTGCTGAAAGTGCATTTAAGGAGTTTGGGAGAAAATTAGCAGAATGGACAAAGTAAGTTTTTTTTTTTCCAAATTATTAATTGTCCTGTGTCTATGTACCTCTAGCTGTTTTTCTTTTCTTTCTTTCTTTTTTTTTTTTTTTTGTACTTTTCTGGTTCCAAACCAGTTTATTCTGTGGTTCTATAATAAGTTTTGATATAATCTTGGCTTCTTAAAAACTGTGTATCATTAAAATATATGTTCTGCAAGAATTAAAACTGAGTCCATGAACATATCATAGGAAGACATAAAACTTTAAAAGGCAACTCAGCGATGATGGAAATGCACTTACAAGTGGTGGCCAAATTTTTTAGGTGAAGTTGAGCACTCTAATTAGCAAGTTGGAGGGATCACATGCCACACAGCTTCCCCTCCCCCTCCCCATACCAAGACAAACCTAGCTTTTTAAAAATATTTTAAGAAAGAGAAGGAACTGTGGAATTTATTGGCAGCCAAGGAATGTGTCCAAGACACAAGCTGAGGTTTTGAATAAAAAGTGAACTTTTGTAATTTGAATTGGGTCCCCCTCCCTTAGTTCTTGAATTGTTATGAATCCTATATCTGTTTGTATATTTGCAAGCCCTTTGTATTATAATTGTTGATATTTCCCCTTTTTAAAAAATACCATTGAAATCAGCATGACAAAATAACACTGTTGGCACTTATAGGTAACGTGATTGATTCAGTATCTTAGAGTTTACAGTTTGTGTTTTTAAAAAAAACTGAAGGTTTTTTTTTTTAAGTGCAACATTTCTGTATACTGTAAAAGTTATAATAACTGAACTGTTTGGTCGAGTCTTTGTGTGTTATATTCCAAGGAAAATTGAAAGTATTCAGAAATTAAAATATTATTTGATATCTGAAACCTGCTTGGCTGTCCCCACTCACTGTCTTTCCATCAAGCTGAGCCCCTGTGAGTCCTCTCTGAGCCAGCGGGGGCCCATTTGTTTACTCCCCTCAATCAGTTTGTTCAAAGGTAGACTAGTGTATTTGCCTGTTTAATTTGGGTGTGTGTGGGGGGGAGCCGAAGTTAATGGTTTATCTATGGTTTAGGAAGTGCCACACTGATATAGTAAAGCCACCCCCATTCACCTAATCCTCCTTTTAATTAAAAATGGATTTTCCAGGAAAAAAAAAAAGAGGCCCTTATATTTGTCACACTTAAGTGCCTGCTTAGGGAAGGTATTGTGAAAAGTATTAGAAATCTCGAGATCAGTATCTATTTTATGATCAGAAAAAAAAAAACGCTCTTTTGTAGATTTCTGACAGTTATACAGAGGATTGGTCAAGCAAGCTAATCACAGCACTGTAAATAGAGGGCAGTTGTTTGGAATGAGTTTTTCCTTAAGTAAGTGTGATTTAAAAAAAAATATTCTGTGGTTCTCATCTAGTGTGGCTGTTGAGAGGATTTTGAATACAGTGATGTAGCTGCTAGCGATCAAGGGTCTGTCTCTCATGTATATATGATAACTTGCTGTTGGCCTGCCTTTCCCCCTCCCCCTCCCTCTTCAGTCTGTGAGAGCATGACCACAGGTCAAGGGAATCTTTTCCATTGGAGTTATGTACATAAAAAACCATGGACATTTGGACATTTCAGATTGTATAAATACAATCTGCACTGCTCTTGGGATCCTTCATTCTTAGAAGCCAATTTTTAAAGGAGAGAGAGAGAGAGAGAGAGAGAGAGAGAGAGAGAATATTAAAAACAAAAACAAAAAACAACTTTACAGGGTGTGCTGATCTGGGAAGTCTACTATTTGGTCCAGTCCCTTATTCTCTTTTCCTGGTTTGGAAAAAGCTCTGTGCTAGGAGCCTACAATTTGTTCTTGTTTAGACTTTCCAAGCTGCCCTCCCTGACATTACTTTTCCATGTTGTGGTTTAATCTTAAAATGAGGGAGGGGGCAGATGAAAGAGGTATAAGAAAAGGGATCATTTTGCAAAGTGCTTTAAACTTGGATGCTCAGTTCTGGTTCATATATGCAGACCTGAAAACTCTGCCTGATTTAGGCAGAGCTCTCCATCTGACCCTCACCTTCTCTCTGTAGATACATATAAATATAAAGTATGTTTTACAGCACAGCATCTGACCTTTAGATGGAGGTTTTGTTGGTTGTTTATTTTCCCCTCTTGCAAGTGCTATCCATGTGAGTGTGTGAAGTTTCTCTACTAAGTAAAACATAGGCCCTTTTCCTTGTTTGTTTTGTGTTAGCTTATTGTAAACAGCCATTTGTTGTAAATTATTATTGGCATTAAATTATAATTTATGATTTTCAAAGCAAAAGACAGTCCCTGTTTTATTATGCTGTTAAGTATGTGTTCTAGGTGTTGAAAAATCTCTCTCAGGCTCTCTCTAAGTTTCAGCGATGAGCTTGGAGGTCTTCGAGGCAGAAAAAAACAGAACTCAAAAATTTTCAACGGGTTAAAACAAAACCCCTTGTATACGTTTAGAGTGGCCGGAGGAGGATCTGTTTAGAGTCTTGAGTTCGGTTTAAGTTTATTGCATTTAAAGAAAGTTTTTCTTTTCATGCTGAGTTAGAACAAAAGATCTTTGCTGCGACTGAATTAGACAAAAGATGAGGGCTGGGACTCAGCGAGTGCGTTCTGTGTGAAATTGACGAGATCTTTAAAAAAAAAAAAAAAAGCTGCTAAACATGGCGACTCTTTCCCTTTAAGTGTCTCTTTTTCCTTGCTGTTTTTTTCCCCTCCTACATCTGATCTGAGCTCGCTTTATTTCTTTTCCCAACCCCACTCCCCCTCCTCCTGGCGCTCGGTGGTGAGAGAGAACCCAGTTAGAGGCGAAATGCAACAATGGTCCAAGGAGAGAGAGAGGGGCGATCGCTCCTTCTTGCCACTTTCAAACAAACCTAGGAGAAGATTGAGCAAAGGGG